GGAGGCTTATAGGAAGTGACTTATTTTTTGTTTAATTTGTCTCATTCAGAAGAAACTGAGATATGGAAGAAGGTAGATCTTGATACAGCCCCTCAAAAGTAGACTTGAACTCTCTTTTTATCTTCATTTCCTAAAATATTGCGTATGTGCATCCGAAAGATTAGAGAGTATAATGTATGCTTCCAGCACTTGCCATTTTTTCTTTTTGTGCCTGACTGCTCATGAAGCCTGGTATTGTCATTTGGCCTGGGGAAATTCTGTCATGAGTAGGTGAAAGATTTAGATAATTGATACACATGCACTCATGATGCAAGCAACTGATTGTTTATTTAGGGTGTGATAGAGGTAAACATCCCTTCACAAAACTTGTTAATTCCTTCACTTTGTTGGTAAGCTTCGTAACCTCCTCAGGGCAGGTGAAAGTGCATGCAAAAGGATTGGCAGCATTTTTCCATGTAAACTAAAGAATGCAATGAAATGCAATATTGTTGTAAACAAAGATCCAGCTACACACTGCCCACTGCATGTACAACAGAAAGGATAAAAGGAGAATCCCCAGTGCTCAGTGACGCTGTGAGATAATGTTATTGAACTAGCTTCTGTGCTCAGGTCATTTTCAAGATTATTTGGACAGAGAAGAATTAGAAGTGCAAGGACAATGTTTTTTCCATCTTGTCTCTGGTCTTCGCTTCATATGCCTGAGGTAGTTGGGAAACCAACACTGAAAGTCAGTTTTGCTGTCCACAATGAAGCACCTTTGCAGAATTTTAAAATGGTGTTGATGTAGATCTTCAGCATAACTTTGCTGTTTAACTTGGGGGTAAATATGGTGTCTTTGTCTGTATTGTTTGCAGAGCTCAGTTTAACACATAAGAGATTGTATGTTGGGTGCTGATAGGCTAAATATTATTTGGGTTATTATCCTTTGCATATGAGAATAAAGGGTAAAAAAGTTACACAGAAAAAGAAAACATCAAAGTAAAATACTTATTATCCAATTAAAATGTATATTCATCACAATTTATTTTGTAGTAAATCATGTACATATTATGTGCTCACAGTTTATGTTGTATTTATAATTTTGTTTATGTATTAATACATGATAAATAAAATGCTGTTGCGAGTAGCTCTACCACACTAAGGAAGTGGAGGGGTCTTAGGGGAAGGGGGAAGGTGAAAGGGGTGGGATGGGATTAGATGGTGGGCTTGTTGGTCTCTGATGGCTTAGAGACAGATTGTGTGGGAGGAAAGCCACCCCAACAGAAGGCCTAGTTAGGAGGAAGGAAGGACAGGAGTAAGGGCAGGAATAGTTCTCTGTGATGCTGGGACTGGAAGAAAGATGCTAAGCAGTATGAAATATACTAGTTTACCTTCACTGCATCCTTTTCTCAGCTTGCCAGCTTTAAAAGGCCTATGATGTTCTGTGGAAGAAACTAGGCTCAGAGATGAAATGCTTGTATAGTCACTCAAGGGGTTATGGACATGGAGTTTGTAGCCTGCCACACCTCGTAAACAGGAAAGTTGCCAACAAAGGGTTGAAGGGTTTGTAGGATAATTATCCTTTAATTAGGCAAAACTCATGAATGTTAATCAGCCAAATCTAAGAGCTGACTGTAATTTGAAAAGAAATACTGCAGCACTTTTTTTGTTTTTATTGGCATTCAAAGGCTTACCCATTTATCAGCAGGAGTACTCAAAAGTTCATGTGATAAAATTTTCCTGGTGGGTTGCCTAGTAGCCAGAGATCAGTTGATTCAATTTTGATGGTGATCTTGATCCAGGATGAAGTAATAGGATTCTTAAGTGATGCAAACAGAAAATAGATCTGCATCCAGTAGGAAATTTAGTTTTATCATCAAATTTTATGGTATACTTATGTATTTTGAGATGGATTTTCATCCATGTCTCTCTTCTCTCTGCTTATTTAGGGAGGTTTAGTTATTGTTGAGGGTTATTCTTACCAAAGGATGGTATTGTTTAGGTGTGTGGTTTAAACATATACAGTATTGTACATTGTAGACATGAAAACTTCAAGGATAAGTTGTAACTTCATGAGACAAAACAAGAGTTGTTGCCGAGCATAGACACACTCTTTATTTTTTTAGGAACTTTATACCTTGTCCTTCAAGTTATTGAAGTAATCCATTGATGCCAGGATTTGTTTAACATACAGATGGCTCTAGAAATGCTTAGCAATAAGGAGTCAGTCACCCGATCTCATTTGGTTACCCTTTATCTAGGGTAAAAAAATAGATGAGAAATGAATTCTATATTGCTGGTAGTATTTTTAATGATAATGAAATAGGTCAGTAATGATGGTAAAGGTAACAGTTACAATAATAACATTCACAAAACTACAGTTGACAGCATATGTGCTCAGGGCTAATTAGTTAAATTATTTGATTAGTGTGATTACGGAACATAACAAAAAAAGAAATGGAGAGAGAGATTTGATAATCAGGTGAGAACGGTGCTATTCTGTTTTTGATTTTAGTTCAAACTATTAGGAAAATAACTCAGATAATTATTTGATTTAGATATTGACAACCTTGACCAGTAACATACAAATATTTTAAAAGTTATTGGAATATATTTCACATTTGTGCTACAGTAACTATAAATGAATGCCCATATATATCTGATAAACATATTTTGGAACATCCAGCTGAATGGGTCCTGTGTAGACACCTTCAGCCTATTGAAAACCAAGCCTCACACTGGGCACCACACGCAGACAGAATTAAAGATGAGAAGCACAGGGAAAGTTTTTTCCCAATTACAGTATTGGCTTAGGATTTTTTTCTGCAAGGGAATATTAACCACATCCAGCCAGCAATAACATGTGTGTACATGCCGTACCCATAATGTTATTGATTTAGTAATAGTTTTTACATACAGATGGCCTCTCAAGTACCAAGTTGCCAATGGATTTTACATTATTGTTATTATTGCTATTGATGATGTTACTTTTTTTTATTATTGCTCTCATTTTTACTATTATTGTTTCTTATCATTATTATTATCATTAGTGATATTATTATTGTTATTTTTGTTATATTTATTATAATAATTTTTATTATTGTTCTTGTTGTTGTGCTGAAAATGGGGCAGGAAGATTTACCAGCTGAAATATTGGATGAAATCTTACATGAATGGGAAATCTTTATTGATTTTTTCTTCTGTTTATATATATTATATAATATATTATATATATATATATATATATAATATATATAATATATATATAATATATATATATATATATATATATATATATCTAATCATGCATTTTCTGTTTCAAGGACATGATATGAAGGATATATTCTTTGGCAAAGGAAAGGTTTCATATTGCAAATTGAAAGCCATAAATAATACGGACAGTCCATAGTAGGAAGACTTGATTGCTGTTCATTTCAGTTTTATGTTACATACTCTACCTTTAGGCTTTTCTTTTTAGATTTGATTCATGAGTGTTCTATCAAGCTGCTCTTAGATATAGGATTTCGAATCTGGGCGTGCAAGTAGGGTGCATCTCTACACTATCTTACCTTGAGCCTATATTTATGCATACACCCTTCAGAGTAAGTTGAAAAAATATTCTCTTTTCTCATTATTTCATTGTGTGGGTGAAGTAGCTTTTGGATTTATTGTGGTAATGTTGATATTTAACTTTGCTCTAATTTCAAAGTATATTAGAATTTGATATTTTTCCCAGGCAAAAGCTCTCTTATATTTTTTAAAATTATATTCAGCCTCTGCTGCTTACTCCATTCTTGAATCAACATGAAAAAAGCTTTACAAGGAGGTGCACATTAGTCTGAATCACTGCAGTCCTCAGTCTTAACCTGACAATGGCTCCTTGGTTCTTTCAATGCCTTGTGTTGCTCCCTCCATCTGAGAAAACATCAACAGAAGAAGGGAGTAGTAATGACTCTTGTGTTTGACTTGATGCAGTTATAGACTGACTTAGAATGTGTGAGTGAGTTTGTATGTACATACACACACAACTCATGCTCACTCACTCGCTCTCCCTCTCCCTCTCCCCCTCTCTCTCTCTCTCTCTCCCTCTCCCTCCCCCTCCCACCCTTCCCCTATCTCTCCCTGCCTCCCTCCCTCCCTCCCTCCATCCCCTCTCCCCCTCCATTTCTAAAGGTTTCCAGCTGTATTTTTGTTGTGTGTGTGTGAGGGATAATGTCCTCTCAATCTCAGTTGATTTGTTGTTCAGATTTATCATGTAATACTAAAGAGTATGTTCATGATGACATGAAGACTTATTAGAGTAATGCGGGCTTAAATCCCACAAAAACATCTAGCCAGGCAATTGCATGACATTCAGGGGCAGTGACATAATATTGCACATTTAAAAAATATATATTTTTGGAGGAACCCTCAATAAACTGAAAAGATAACAAATGTTTCCTTAATGATGCTGCTCCCATCTCTGTAGAGAGTAGAGCAGCTTCATTAGGCCCAATGATAAGGACTGTGGACAGGATATTTTCGTTCTTCTTTTTCAGATTGCTTAATTTTTATATATGTTTATATATTTTTTTGTTAATGAAAGTACCACATTTGAGATAAGAATAAAAAGTAAAACAAGGAAACAGTAACACGTTTTCTGAAAAAAAGACTAGTTCCAGTATCACAGGTCAAATATTATGACTTCATTAAAAACTTTAAAATCAAGATGACTGTAATAGTACATGAAAAAAAGTATGAATGTGCTTGCCCATTTTGCTAATTTATTGTAATTTCATGTTTGCATTTTTTCAGAGAAGGATAAATTATTAAAAAAAAGAAAAAAAAAATCGTTTTCTTAGCCAGCTCTTCCATGGAGCATAATTTATGATTGATGAAGATGGAACTTGTCATATTTTATTCAGAAAAATATTCCCTGTTTGCCCATTCAGCATATTTTGTTATAAACAACTGGTGGGTGGGTGAGTGGGTCAGTGGGTGGATGGATGGATGGATGGATGAATGGATGGTACATAAATAGATATGGTGTATGTATACATATATATAGGGGGATTCAGCATTCTATTCATTATATTGAGTGACAGCCTTTTTGGATGATAAATGGCATAATTGTTGAATACTGAAATATACATAGTTTGGGTGACACAAGATGTGTACAATGATGCCATAAGGTAGGTGAAAAGTGAAGTGAATCCCCCACAGATATTAAACAGATCACAACAGTGTAGTTATCACTGATGCAAATTAAAGAAATGGTTCAAATTGCATAGCTACAGTTGCCCACACTAGGTTCAGGGTCCCTGTGTGAATATTCCCCAGTGTAGGCCTTTGCTGCAAATTGAGGAACGGGTCCCCTTCCCATCAACCTCTGATCAACACATGTACTATGAGGGGATCTGCGTGCCATTGTTTTGGATATGTTCTTGTAGAATTCCAAGTATGTGTAATCAAACATTTTATGATTTTTGTCAATACAAAGGACATTGTCATCTGATATACTGCATAGAATGCTTAACAACTTTTTATACTTGAATAATTATATACTGTACATATGAACATGTGAATACATGTTGAACATTGCAGCTGTATGTAATCAGATGAGAATGTGTGTGTGTGTGTTTATGGATAAATAATTTTCACTGAACATTAAAATATTTACTGATAGTTATTCCAGAGGATTTTCTATTTTTTAGTTAACAAGCATTAAGACATTCCAAATTGATTGCATCCATTATACTGATATAGGAATTTTACAATATGCAACTTTAGTTACTTTAATATTTGTGACATGGAAATTAAATGCCGCAGCATTTAGATATGAAAATGTGAATTAATTTTCTGTCTGCCAGTGACAGAACCACTTTTCCCAGTGAAAGTTACTAAGGAGCAGAAACATGCCTTTGCACATTTGTTATTTAAATGTCTGAGGGTACTTCATTTTATATAATTACTGCAAAGAGTAAGGTTTACTAATTGCAGTTGGAATCATTTAAATGTTGATTGGCTTATTAGGACTACAAGGCCAACAACTCTATATTTCTGTGGAATTGCTCATGATCCTAAGTTGATAAAAGTTTGGTGGGAAACTAAAGGATTTTATATTTTACATGGTTATTTGTTTTCTTTGAAAATTAAATTATGCTTTCAATTCTAACAAATACACACAAACACAAAACACACGCACAAACAAAAACAAAAACACAAAAAATCAATTTCATGCAGAACACACACCCAAACAAAATGTGCAAAACTTGTACATACATTCTTACACAAACAGATTTGTGTATATGTAGATAGAGAAATGAATAACTAAATAAGCCGTGTGTAATCCTGTGTGCATGTAGTTGTATACACAGATTCACAAATGGGACATTGTGTGTTTACTTCTAGCGTACGTGGCAGGAATTGGGTAATAGGGAAAAATTCCAGGCAATTTACTACATTGATTTCAGTTTAGAAAAACAATCCAACTCACTTCTTCCTTGAATGGCTTTAAGATTTTTTCTTGTATTTAGGTGTGGAAAAAAAACTTGTAAAGAGAGATGGAATGACCTCATAACACTAGATTTAATTGATGTGTTTTGTTTAAATGGCTAGAATTAACCAGAAGGCATCATTTACATGTCTTGGTATATGAAGTTGTTCCATCTCATTTATATTTTTTTTTTCTAAATTTGTATTTAGGTATTTAGTTCAAATTCGTATTTTTTCATTTTGTATCTTTTATGTTCAGGTTTCTATAGGGTTTCTCTTGGCTTCTTACGTCCTTATTAGTTATTACTGTTGAATATGTTTTGATAATGGTTTATTAATATTGGTACCCAATCGTGCTAATTATAGTAGTCGAGGCGGAGGCAGACGGCGACGGTATGAAGGAGAAGATTATGGCCCGAGAGTGAAGCGCTTGAGAGGGCCACCCAACTTCAGGGGAAGAACAGAGAAGTCAGGTAAGACAGGTACTCTCTTTTTTCCTCATAATTGTATGTGATCCTTAGTAAACCAAAATTTGCTGACACTGAATATTGAAAAAAAAAGTCCATATTTCTTGTGTTGCTATTTTTGTCATGTGCTACTTCTGTTAGCCCCATGACACCTTTTTTTTCCCCACGTTCTAGTTCTAGTCCGGCACATGCTGCTGTGTATGGTGGGTTACATTAGGTTTACATTAGGCCAGGCTAGAGTGAGCAAAAGCATTATCATCAGGAGAATTGCACAAATCACTAATTTAACAGGCAATATTTTATTAAGGCTGTACTTGTAGTAGTACAAAGTTTAGGTAAGACTACCTGGCAGTACACTTATGCCACAGACATAATGTCTAGTCACTTGGCACCAATCTGAAATTATTCATGACATAGGATTACATCTAGTAGCAAAGGTTTAAGAAAACCAATTTCTGTCATTATATTACATCTTTTAGAGTTTCAAATAATAACAAAGAATTCATGAAAGAAGTACATTTTCTCAAGAAAAAAAATGTTTCTGGTTTGTAATGATCGTCTTTATACACCTGGAGAATTATTCTGTGTTATTTTTTAATGTGACCCAAATCCACCCTTTTTCAAACAAGCTTCCTACACCCGTGAGAGAGTAAGAGAGAGATCACCAGTCTACCGCAGTGTTCCTCGAAGAGAGAGTGCCACATACAACGGCACAAGTAGCCACAAATTGGTTAGTATAGAGAACACCATTGACTTGTTTAACTATGTTCAGTAATGTTGTGAAAGTTTGTCCTAATGGCAGACAGATCCATGAATTTCTGTGTCAATAATGAAAAGGAAAGTTAAAATATTGGTATCATTAGAATATACTTTCTTACATTTATGTTAGTATATTCGTGGAGATATTTTGATTCTTCTTTATTCTTCTTCTTCATCAGTAGAACTTGTAAGAATTCTATAGCAAAGATCGAAAGACATAAATTAATATCAATATGATATTAGTATGAATATTTTGGGGTATCCTAGAACTGTGATTATTCATTATATATTTAGTGAGTATATTCTTTGGTCAATTTTAAACATGCTCATAAAGCAGTATTAGGAATCCTCTTTTCAGACATACCAGGACTTCATGAGAGAGATGCGGGATTTCCACTCCCGTGCACCGAGTAACCTACCCCCAATGGCCTTCCCACCACCCGTAAGTAGCTGTGTATTTTGTCTTGTGCTTAGATAACATTATGAATTGTTTAAATATATTTTCCAGCACAGTGATTTTTTTTTTTTTTCACATTGATATTGATGATGATAGTATTTTACTTTGTCCTATGTAAAAAAAATGTTAATCTACATACCTGAGGCAGCTTGTGTTTTTTTGTATGATCTCTTGGTTATCTATCTATTTTCATTTTTTGTATGCAGCCTCCATTTGATCCTATTGGACCCCCAAGATACTATGATGGACCTCCGCTACCTGAGTATCCATCATCCCGCTCACGTTCAGAAAAGAGACAGTCTGCTGATGTAAGGATGAAACCTTTTTTCTGTTTTTCTGGTCTGGTGGGGATACACATTTGATGACTTCCTTATCAGCATTATGTGATTTTGTGCATTTTAGCATGAATAGTAATTTATGTGGCAGCTTTTCTAGTTTATTCAGTTAACGTTAATGTTTATTCAGTTAATTTTGGACTTCTTGTTTGATATAAGGCTTGTAATATATGGTTTCTCCGTTAACTGTCATAAGCAAGATCTATAATTTATCAAGATTTGGCCTTGCTGCAAACTAAACACTAAACCCCAGTGCTCTTTACAAGGAGTATCAGAAGCTACTGCACCCCAGCCATGCCAGACTTAAGCAAAATTTTAGTCATTATGTATGATTTTTATGCCTAGTAAGGCTTTTGTGTATGTTTATTCAACAAATTCTGAAATAGTTTGAGCCAATAGGGACTAATAGGATGTATTTTTTTCTATTAGCTAATGTCAGATGTATGTATAATATAGAAAATGTTGAGTATTTAAAAAATACATAGGAGAAATGGTACTGAAGACTTGGTTCCAGTTAACATCATGCATATAGCATGTGAGGACAGATTTCATAGTTTTTAAGGTATGCTTACAATTATCCCTTAACCCACTAGCATCACACCAGTGTCTTGCTGGTGTGATGCTAGATCAGAGCTTGTGCTCTGATTTTGTTGGCCGTGGCGGGCTGTGGGCAGGCTGGTTCCCAGACTGGCCCATGCGCCGATTTTGAAGCTGCCCAGAAACTATTGCTTTTGGCTTGAAAATGTACCAGCACTAGTGGGTTAAGATATTAAATGATCATTCAGTCATAGACTAAGGGGGAGAAAAGTGAAGTACTAAGGATGCTATGCAATTTCAAATGTCAAATGATATGTCATAACATTCATTCTTTTTCACACACAAAGCAAGTAGTGTGATTTATTACTTGTTCATCTTGGAAGTGTTATCTGAATTAGCTTTTCTTTTATCTGTTTGTTTTTCCCTTCTTTTCCCAAGTGTGCCCCCAGCATCATAAGGGAAAATCTGTAGGACAAGCACTATGACATCATCACTAGTTAAAATAATTTTGCAAGACTCACTTTTATAAACAATATTTTCATGAATTGAATAACATTCATTCTTACAAGTTTCCTCTCTATTTACAGCCATATGATAGAAGTGTGGATGAATTCCTTCAGAGAACCCGAGACAGGCGTGAACGAAGCAGGGAACGTCGATATGAAAGAAGATAAACAGGAATCGGAAAGAACATTATCTAAGTCAAATTCTTTTTTAACTTAGGAATGAGCTCATAAGGAAAATATTATTTAGTAAGAAGAGTACTCTGTGAAACTGATCATATTTTTGAAATTTACATAAGCTTGTAGAAGAAATGTATCAAACTTTATTCAGATCTTAGCATCATAAATGCTTCCAAAGGGTATTTTGGATAGCTACCTCACTAACTTTTACCTCTGCTAGACCCAGTTCCTTAAATCTGGGTCTGGATTCTGAAATATTTAAAATGGAAAGAAAAGAAAAATAGAGTTGATTCTTACCAAGGACACATGCAATATTAAAAGATTGTATCAGAAGTAATCCAGTGTTCTGTTGTGTTGCTATACAGTTTTTAATACAGATTGAATGTGAATATGTGTGAATGCATGCATTTATGTTTGTTGTATGAGAGAATTTATTTTGTATAGCAATATTTCTGTGCATACATGTTCATAAAGCAGAACACTTTTTGTTTTAGTGCACCTTGATCAGCAATGATCTTGTCAGATCAGTATTAACATGATATTCTATCTTGTTTGGTATTATCAGTATATTATTATTTGGAATATATATATTTTTTGTTCAACGTTTCCATTTCCAGTATCTGCTAATTTACTAATATCTGAAATAGAAATTGAAGGTGATAGTAAAATGTATGCATTCAAAATTAGTTTCAATAAAGATGTAAGAAAACTGTTTCATTTCACAATAAGGGCATTTTTCTTCAAAACTGTATGAAGACTTTTGTATTTTTGACTTGAAAGATGTCGAATGTAGAGTAGTGTCTAAAATTACGTACTTAAGTCTTCATCTTAAGCAGGGGACCTCTAATAGAGTGCCTTTTCTGCATGTACAAGGTACTGGTACTTTGATTTGCTTATAATTCTTCAAGAGCAAGTGATTCATTGTCAGTTTTACATAAAATAGTTTCACGAGTATTGTAGAAGCCATTTTACATGACTGCAGATGCCATCAAGAAGGCAATATTTATTATATTTTACAAGTATGTTTAAATGGTAATTGGTAACTAGATGTAATTAGAATTGCAAATTTTGAGTAATTTCAAGTTATTTTTTATTTTTGCCTTGTCTGATAATGCACCATTGGCTTCTAACTACCTCAGTGGCAGGCTTATAGGGCACTGTCTTTTTACCTTCATAAGAAGATTGTACCTACATTGAAGAGCATTGTAAATAATATTGTTCAGCTTATAAAGGTTAATTGAAAAGCACAGTATAAAAAAGACTTGGTCTTATTTTTGTAGGACTCCTGCCCTTTAGTGTGAGGTTTCTCTGGAAAAGAACTTATTTTTACTGTTCTCATTGATACCCAGTAACATTTAAGATTTTCATATTTTGATGACTTATGTAGTTCAGAATGCAAGGCATTGAGTAAGACTTTCATATTTTGATGACTTCTGTAGTATGGAATGTAAAAAAATTGGCATGATCAGTACAAATAAAATTTGCTTTACTTTCATTATATACATTCATGTATCTACTTTTTGTATTGTGAAAGTAATTGTATTTGTTTCTGTTAGTGCAGTCTGTGCTATTAAAGCAATTATTAAAAATAAAGTCTTTGATATCCCAAAGTTTTTAGGTGTATAGTTTAAATCAAAGTCATTTTCCACAGGAAATAAAGTGTATTTTATATCACTTTTTTATAAACACCTTTGTCCTCTACTCTTAAACCATTGTGTTGTTTCTCCCATAATCTCATGACACCACAACCACTAATCAATTGCCATGACTATTAGATTGGTATATAAAAAAAGGAAGTTTCTAGTTGAACATTAAAATAAATCTGCTTAAATCCATATAAGAGTTGTAAAGGTTTGTAAGTGACAATGTAATTGAGAAAAAATTAAAATGTCTTATTTTGCAATTTGCTAACCCAGACAATAATTAAACAAATCACTTGCAACAAAGTCAATGAATACCATCCCCTCACAGTTCTAACATGAGGCACAATTTCTCAAGTATTCTGTATAGGAAAATTAGGCTTTCTCAAACTGCTGCAGAGGTCCATATTCCTTGACATTGCTGCATACTTTTTATGATGCGCAACCTTGAACACTGTATTGCAAAACCATCTTCTTCCACTGCGATGTTCCAAATCAACCATGAAGGTGGTCAGTTTCCAGCTACACTGCATACCTTTGTAGGGATGTCAGGGACAGTATAAAAATATCATTTACACTGTATAAAAAGTCTACAACGACTGTACACTATCTACATGATCCTACTTCTGCTGGACTCTTGGATGTCTGGAAGCTCCCATAAGTTCATCAGTTGCATCATGAGCAAGTGGACTCACTTCCTGTACAGAGATATACCATGTAGAAAGGATGGAGCTTAATCTCAATTTTGCATTAAATGGAGAGAGAGAAAAAAAATAGATTGTGAAATGTGTTGCTGGTACACATAAATGACGATGTGATATTCAAAATATTGTGCATGATTTTTTTTTTTACTATTATATGAATTCTTGCAAGTCTTGCTTATATCTTATTTTTGATGCAGATGGTACTTAAAATTTTGGATGATGCAATATCATTTACATTTGATATTTTGCTGTTATGAAATTCAATACTGACTTCTTTAGCCATTCCTCTATTTTTAGCACTCATTACTTATCCACATTAGTAAAGGGGAGGGAGAATGCATGGTCGGAAGACAGCTTGAACGTTTTCTATTGATGGCAAGTTATATGAAGTTACTGAAGGGAGCTGTCCTATTATCTAAAAAGAGAATAGGAACACACATTTCATTCCTACAGGAACTCAAACTTCCTGACCTGAGTTATAATGAATAGTTTGACCAACCAATGACTTATGCCTGCAGGCAACCAGACTTCCTCAGCAATTCCATATTAGTAGCAGTGCTTCATCTCGCATACCTCGACACCAGTGAACCATAACATTAAATGCAATTGTTAAAAATAAAATCATTCTAGGTAGTTCTAGTAATTTCTTTTAAATTACAATTATTGAAGATAATCTAAATTACTTATTATGTAAAAGTAAATCCTTAATTGTTTTAAACATTCCTCAAGAAAAGTTGCTCATCAGAACAAATGAAGCCAGCTCTATATGGATGATCCCCAGGTGTGATTCAGTAATGCCTAAAGCCCAGCATTCTGGTTGTAATGGAACACAATTCTCAAGTTCGCTTTACCCTGGCAAACCAAGGTTAGCAAGCAACATCACAGATCTTTGGCATTCTTCTTTCCGCAATGTCATTCAAAGCCTTCTGAAGTTTAATACTGGTTAACAGCTAACGTCTGCACAAAATGCTGCATCCAGAAAATTTGAGCAATAATGCATGGTGCACAGAAACTTACAAGTCTATAAACTCTTTCCCCTTTCAAGAACGAGATCATAAATTGGTATTCCAGCAATCTTACTCCTAAATGGAGTACAACATACAACTCAATGAAGCAGACCTTATGGGCATCTTCATGAACACAAGTCTGGGGCATGTGCAATAGAGGAAAATCTCCTCTAAAATAGATATTTTATTGGAAAAAAACAAAATCTCTTTAAGAAACCACATAAAAAAATGTTATGGAATATATAACACTATCACATATCATGGTGTGACAGTGGTTGTGGCCGACATGACAATGACTTGTTTGGGAAGCAATGAACAACAACAAAAAAGGTAGTGGTCAGGCAGGGCCACTGTTTGATCTGAGA